GCTAAAACTACCACACTAGCATACATAAACGAAAATTGGCCAAATTGGTGTCACATTTACACGGACGGATCCTCAGATCCGACCTCCAAACACACAGGTTTCGGAGTCCATACCACACAACCAACTAAAACCACACAATCCTTCCGACTCCCAAACAACCAATCAATATTCACGGCAGAACTAATGGGCATGGCCCCAGCCCTCCATAATCAAGAATCCAAAAACCACCAAAACAATCCTAATACTTACCGACTCCCTAAGTGGAATGCAAGCCCTCCAAAACAAAAATACCAAAAACCGACCTAAATTAATAAATCAAATACTTAAAAACTCCAACGACCTAACTAAGGCTGGCAAACAAATAACCTTCTTGTGGATACCCGCCCATGTAGGAATATACGGTAATGAAAACGCCGATAAAGCAGCTAAACTATCCCTCAAAATCCCAGAAATAAGCTTAAACTTTCCCATCTCAAAATCAGAAATTAAAAGTGTAAACAAGCAAAATATCACAAAAAAATGGCATAACCTATATCTAAACTCAAATAGCCAAATCAAAAAAGTGCTCAGCAAACCACTAACCAAACCAAAAATTCTCCATCCATCAAAAAAAATCGACAGTGTAATCACTAAACTCCAAACAGGACACACCAACCTAAATTACCACCTAATACATTTAAAAAAAACACACTACAGGTAACTGCCCATACTGCAAACAACCAGAAACCCCAGAACACGCACTCATCCACTGCACACACTACCTAACACATCGAACCGCATTACAAACCACCCTCAATCTAAACAAGTCTCTCACTCTAGAAGCAATACTTAACCCACAAAATAAACTGGAAAACTTCAAGTCCTTAGGCGTATTCTTAATCAAAACGGAACTAATAAAACGCATCTAAAAACACAATAACCTACCAAATCAAAATCACATAAACAAACAAACATCCACCATACCCCGCTCCCTTAGTTCTCCTCCCCAACCCCATCGGCATCTATTCCAAATCTCATAATTCCCAAATTCTATATAAGCAACCCCTAAACCCCCCTCTTGGGTTGCACAGACAACTTCGCCCCTTTCGGAAACACATTAAATGGCCTGGCCGGCCCGTGTGCGAAATACGCATCAGTCGGAAAGCGCACGTTAAATCTCCAAAGTAAGTAAGTAAGTACAACTGCAGACAGAAACTGCTCAGTCCTAACTGTTGATCATGTCCGGTCAAAATTTAAGAATGTCCGGACAATACTTTTTTAAATGTCCAGACAGAAAAATTTAAATGTCCGGTAAGCAATATTTTAAACCGTACATTTGAGATTCCCAAGCGGACATGTCCGGCGCATATGACGGTTTCCGGACCCCTGAATTACAATCCTTTCCGACCAGAAATATTGGAATATTTTCTGGAGCAGAGCTCAACCTATGTACAACAGTTCCTTTTGAATGTCCGAAAATATTTATAACTAAATTATTTTGCTTTCCCCCTTATCAATTTGCGAGATTGGTGCAGGTACATCCGGATCTATACCATCAAAGTTGAGTCCCTCATTTAAGGGATAGCTCGAAGGTCTATCTAAATGTTTGTTTGTGGGAAACTAGGCAGATCTTAACATCCATCTCAAACAGTTGTCATCATTATTTTATACATTAATTATGGCTTTTTGCTTCTTATAATAGGAGGGTAAATCTATATAAGATCCACCTTTCAAAGGCATATAATTTGCTAAATGTAAAGTATTGATTCTGTCCACGCCCCAACCCGAACCTCAATTATTCAAGTGTTCTAAAGTTTCTTGTATCTGCTGAATTGAAGCATCTATTGATGAACTTATAGAATCAGATTCTTGGTTGCCCCTTAAATAAGGTTCTGTAGATTCAACACGGTCTGCATTATTTTTTACTTAATGACATTTTAACTATTAGCTGGTATTTTATACTATCTAAATCATCTAACTCCTCATTAAATTTGCTCTAATAATCGGTTTAATATCATTAACATCCATGTTGGAATTAATCTCCATCTTCCAGCCTCATAGATATTTACCAATGGATGATCTCTGTAACAACTGGTTGATTATTCTCAACAACTGGTTGACTATCCAGTAAAGCAATCAATTCAGCTTTTCTCATTCAAGAATAACCTCTCAGCCCACGGTTTCTCGCTTGACCTTTGATTTCTCAAACAGTCTGGGGCTTGTTAACGTTGTATTCCAAACCGAGTAAGGTAATCAATTCAGCTTTTCTCATCCGACAATAACCACGTAGACCACATTGTTTTGCCAAAGGTTTCAGCTCTCTGAAATAAACCATTGTGATGTTTTGGTATACGCAAAATAAAACAAATCTCTAAATGTTATTTTATTCATATATCTAAACACTGATTCTCCCCAACCTATTCCTCTCATTGATGAAATCCCTCTACCTTGTGTAAATAATCTGGTTTCCAATCTTGTCAGCGCCGTGTCTTGCATATTCAGTAATGACCTTTGACCCCAAACCCGCATACAGAACATATGTAGTTAACGTTACCCTGTCTAACTGAGTAAGAATGAATCCCGCAGTATAGACTGACACACCGCTTGTTACAGTTTAGGGATTTCCCCATAAGCGTAAATCTACACTGGTTTAACATCATTGCTGTTCTCCGTACAGTTGCACAGTATGTAGCAAGGATTGAACGGCATCAGTTGATGAAAGCCCGAAAATCAGATGTTTAAAAGTCAGCAAGTTAAGGACAGATACAACCATGAACCATGTGTCACAGTGTCCCGCCGAGCGATATCATGCTTTCAATTACCTGAACTCAGTATGCGAGGGGCGGTTGATAAGTTCTAAGCCTAACAAAGAAAACAAAGTCAGTTTGATACCAAAGCTTTATATTTTTCGACAAGGTCAACACACTTCTGCCAGCGATGTTGCAATGCCATTATGCCAATTTTGTAGAAGTCAACTTCTTTGTCACTCAAAAAGTTGTTGACCACTGTAATGACTTCATCATCTGACTGGAAATGAGTGCCAGCTAAATGCCTTTTCAACTGTGGGAACAGATGGTAGTCCGATGGAGCCAAATCAGGTGAATAAGGTGGATGTTGGAGAAGTTCAAAGCCACACTCATGGATTTTGGCCATTGCTAACAGTGATGTGTGTGCTGGAGCATTGTCGTGATGATAAAGCACACCTTTCGTCAACTTTCCACGTCGCGTAACTTTGATTTTCTCTCTTAACTGTCTCAGAAGTTCCACATAGTAAGCCCCTGTAACAGTACGGCCTTTAGGAAGCCAGTCCACCATGATCACACCTTCAGAATCCCAAAACACGGATGCCATGACTTTCACAGCTGAAGGCACAGACTTTGCTTTCTTTGGAGTAGGAGATGTGACATGTTTCCACTGTTTAGACATTAGATATTTTGATTCAGGTTCAAAGTGCTGGACCCATGTTTCGTCCATTGTAACAAATCGTTTGAGAAAGTTATCTGGATCACCTTCAAAAAGCTTGAGGTTCTCTCTTGAGAGATTCTCTCTTTGACGTTTCTGATCAGCTGTCAACAGTTTGGGGACCCATCGAGCAGAAACCTTGTTCATTCCTAGAATATCTGTCAGAATGAAATGTACTCGCTCCTGAGAGATGTCCACTAAGTTGGCTATCTGTCGCTGTGTCACTCGTCAGTCGTCCATGACTATGTCCAGGATTCGCTGTACCATTTCAGGTGTTGAAGACTCAACAGGTGGACCAGGACGGGGTTCATCACCAGTGCTCGATCGCCCACGTTTAAATTCTGCCACCTATCTTTTCACTGTTGCATATGACGGGGCATCTTCCCCTAGTATGGATAACATAGCCTCATATATGGCATTGGGTGTTAAGCCTTTCTTGTAAAGGTATTTGATAACAGCTCGCTTTTCCCGTTTCTCCATTTTAAATAATCTTATAACCCCCCTTGCAGTCAATAGCTTATATTAAACTAAATAATGTGTCCAATACAACAATCATCCTGTGTATGTCACTGTACTTGATCAGTCTATCACCACCATAAAGGAATTCATCCGTACCACACTCCTTCAGAGGTAGGCTCACAACTTATCAATCGCCCCTCGTAATATGATGCGTTACACCTGTATATTGATAATCCAACAAACAATCCCCTCTTTCAAATGAACAAATGAACACGTGTGTTGGGAAATCATGTATTGTTTGACCGACATCATATGTATGGTTCTCCAGTTTGTCTGTTTGGAATTTTTAAGAATTAGGCCTGTGTTTATCAGCATTCCCAAACTCTCGGACTATTCGTATTTCTGCCTGATGTATTTATGACTGAGGAAGGGTTTGGGGGACCTTCATATCCAGAGGCAAGAGAGTTAACTGACTTTAAAAGTCCAGTTTCCATCCTTGCCGAACTAGGCTGGAATTCCTTGGCTCGATCGTAGCGCCACCAGTGGCTATTACGGGTTATGTCCCTTCTATGCCTCTCCTATGGACCAATCAGATTCCAGCTCTCGTATCACTTGCATTTGCTTCAAACAAAATGGCGGCGCCCAGACAAGACGATCTGTTCGATTATCTAGATCTATATTGTGATAAAACGGATCTTACATGGCGAAGTGCATCAAATCACGTGGGCAACTTGACTAAAAACATGAAAAGATTTGCAAAAATATCCGAATTGGCAGTGCACATGCTGTGCAAATCCTGCAATCGACCTAAATCTGCATGACACTTTTGAACAGAATTTCGATTTCATTGCGCGATTTTGATTGGCCTATGCATAGACTCGTTATTCCAACCAAAATCTAACTCTTTAATACCAGCCTAGTTCGGCAAGGGAGGAAACTGGACTTTTAAAGTCAGATAAGTCTCTTGCCTCGGGAAGCTGGGGACCTTTGGTCTGTACCTACAGCTGATATTCTTATATTGCTAGAACTGTCACGGATGTTGGTATACGAGGCTGGGAACTGATCCAGTTGATCAGGTATATTCTTGTGTGGCATTCCAGTGCAGTGTGTGCGTCTGCCCGATGTGCAGCACGCCGTGGCTGAGGGACAGGGGCCGTGGTACAGTGGGGACACGATGCAGCTCAAGTGTGAGGGGGGATTCACGGCAAGCGGCAACAGCAAGGCAATCTGCGGCAAGGACGGAACATGGTTCAATGTGTCATTAGAATGCACAGGTACCATTCGCATACCAATATGTGATAATAGGGGCAATACACATTTCTAGGATGAATTAGCAGGGTTTATGGATACAAATGTGAAACAAATTGTGATTCAGACCTACATCAGTTAATAAAACTGTGTGTGTGTGTGGTGGGTGTGGGTGTGAGGATGTGTGTGGTGGATTGTGAGGGTAGGTGGGGGGTAGGTGGAGTGGGTGTGGGAGTGGTAGGGTGTGTGGGTGTGGGTCAGTGTCGGGGTGTGAGGGTGTGTGTGAGGGTGTGGACGGGGGCTAGTGTATGAACAAACACTCATTTGCCTTTCTGAAGATAATCACAGTTTCTGCTTCTTGCTTCTAGCTAGCTCATATGTGTTATTGAGAAATTTTGTTCTGTAGAAAAATTACCTCATGTCCTGGTTGCCGTGAAGGAAACACGACAGTTCCACATGATAAACGTCCGCTCCAGGGAGACAGAGGTGCTGCTCATTAACAGTTCAAAGAGCATACAGGACGTTGACTACTGTCCCCATTTGGAAAAACTCTTCTGGGCGGAGGAAAATGCGATTCGGGCCGCAAAACTTACAGACACAACCCCAGAAAACATTGTCAACAGTAAAGGTAACATAGTAATCGACACACATGATACAATCACTTTGTTAATAGATGTCGTCATGTAGTGTACGATTGGTGGATGAAATGGTCTGAGCCTAACTACGAAAGCTGTATGATACACCTTTAACAGTTTGTGTGAAGTAAATGTCCATGTATACAGGCTGCAATTGAACTAAGAAGACAACAAGGAAGCAGATTTCCGTAAAGGATGAAAACCGCCTCCGAGGTCTTGACTGACAATGTAAGCTCGGGCGTGAACACAGAGACAATACACAGCATTGTGTAGTACGTTAATACGTGAACAATACATAGCAGCGTGTAGTACGTTAATACGTGAACAATACATAGCAGCGTGTAGTACGTTAATACAGTGGGGAATACATAGCAGTGTGTTGTACGTTAATACACTGGCGAATACATAGTGCGTTGTACGTTAGTACAGTGGGGAATACATAGCAGTGTGTTGTACGTTAATACAGTGACAAGTACATAGTGTGTTGTACGTTAATACATTGGGGAATACATAGTAGTGTGTTGTACGTTAATACAGTGGGAAGTACATAGTGTGTCGTACGTTAATACAGGGGGGGAATACATAGCAGTATGTAAAACGTTAATAAAGGGGGGAATACATAATAGTGTGTTGTACGTTAATACAGGGGGAAATACATAGTAGTGTGTTGTACGTTAATACAGTGGGAAGTACATAGTGTGTTGTACGTTTATACAGGGAGGAATACATAGCAGTGTGTTGTACGTTAATACACTGGCGAATACATAGTGCGTTGTACGTTAGTACAGTGGGGAATACATAGCAGTGTGTTGTACGTTAATACAGTGACAAGTACATAGTGTGTTGTACGTTAATACATTGGGGAATACATAGTAGTGTGTTGTACGTTAATACAGTGGGAAGTACATAGTGTGTCGTACGTTAATACAGGGGGGAATACATAGCAGTATGTAAAACGTTAATAAAGGGGGGAATACATACTAGTGTGTTGTACGTTAATACAGGGGGAAATACATAGTAGTGTGTTGTACGTTTATACAGTGGGAAATACATAGTGTGTTGTACGTTAATACAGTGGGAAGTACATAGTGTGTTGTACGTTTATACAGGGAGGAAAACATAGCAGTATGTAAAACGTTAATACAGGGGGGAATACATAGTAGTGTGTTGTACGTTAATACAGTTGGAAGTACATAGTGTGTTGTACGTTTATACAGGGAGGAATACATAGCAGTATGTAAAACGTTAATACAGGGGGAAATACATAGTAGTGTGTTGTACGTTAATACAGTGGGAAGTGCATAGTGTTTTGTACGTTAATACAGTGGGAATACATAGTGTGTTGTACGTTAATACAGGGGGGAATACATAGCAGTATGTAAAACGTTAATACAGGGGGGAATACATAGTAGTGTGTTGTACGTAAATACAGGGGAAATACATAGTAGTGTGTTGTACGTTAATACAGTTGGAAGTACATAGTGTGTTGTACGTTTATACAGGTAGGAAAACATAGCAGTATGTAAAACGTTAATACTGGGGGGAATACATAGTAGTGTGTTGTACGTTAATACAGTTGGAAGTACATAGTGTGTTGTACGTTTATACAGGGAGGAATACATAGCAGTATGTAAAACGTTAATACAGGGGGAAATACATAGTAGTGTGTTGTACGTTAATACAGTGGGAAGTGCATAGTGTTTTGTACGTTAATACAGTGGGAATACATAGTGTGTTGTACACGTTAATACAGGGGGGAATACATAGCAGTATGTAAAACGTTAATAAAGGGGGGAATACATAGCAGTATGTAAAACGTTAATACAGGGGGGGATACATAGTAGTGTGTTGTACGTAAATACAGGGGAAATACATAGTAGTGTGTTGTACGTTAATACAGTGGGAAGTACATAGTGTGTTGTACGTTTATACAGGGAGGAATACATAGCAGTATGTAAAACGTTAATACAGAGGGGAATACATAGTAGTGTGTTGTACGTAAATACAGGGGAAATACATAGTAGTGTGTTGTACGTTAATACAGTGGGAAGTACATAGTGTGTTGTACGTTAATACAGTGGGAATACATAGTGTGTTGTACGTTAATACAGGGGGGAATACATAGCAGTATGTAAAACGTTAATAAAGGGGGGAAAACATAGTAGTGTGTTGTACGTTAATACAGGAGAAATACATAGTAGTGTGTTGTACGTTAATACAGTGGGAAGTACATAGTGTGTTGTACGTTAATACAGGGGGGAATACATAGCAGTATGTAAAACGTTAATACAGGGGGGAATACATAGTAGTGTTTTGTACGTTAATACAGGGGGGAATACATACTAGTGTGTTGTACGTTAATACAGGGGTAAATACATAGTAGTGTGTTGTACGTTAATACAGTGGGAATTACATAGTGTGTTGTACGTTAATACAGTGGGAAGTGCATAGTGTGTTGTCCGTTAATACAGGGGGGAATACATAGCAGTATGTTAAACGTTAAAACAGGGAGAAATACATAGTAGTGTGTTGTACGTTAATACAGGGGGGAATACATAGTGTGTTGTACGTTAATACAGGGGGAAATACATAGTAGTGTGTTGTACGTTAATACAGTGGGGAGTGCATAGTGTGTTGTACGTTAATACAGGGGAAAAAACATAGTAGTGTGTTGTACGTTAATACAGTTGGAAGTACATAGTGTGTTGTACGTTAATACAGGGGGGAAAACATAGCAGTATGCAAAACGTTAATACAGGGGGGAATACATAGGAGTACGTAAAACGTTAATACAGGGGGAAATACATAGTAGGGTGTTGTACGTTAATACAGTGGGAATACATAGTAGTGTGTTGTACGTTAATACAGTGGGAAGTACATAGTGTGTTGTACGTTTATACAGGGGGGAATACATAGCAGTATGTAAAACGTTAATACAGGGGGGAATACATAATAGTGTGTTGTACGTTAATACAGGGGGAATACATGGCAACGTATAGTACATTAATGCATTGAGGAATACATTAGCAATGTATAGTACGTTAATATAGGGAGGAAAACATAACAGTGATTAGTACGTTAAAAGGGGTAGGACACATAGCAGAGTGTAGTACGTTAATACAATGGGGAATACATTGCATTGTGTAGTATGTTTATTGAGGGGAATTACATAGCAGTGTGTAGTTTGTTAATACAGGGGAAATATTTTGCAGCGTGTAGGCGTTAATACAAGGATGAATACAAAGCAGTATGTAGATGTTAGTGGAGGGGGAATACATACTAGTGTGTAGACATTAATAGAGGTGGGGTGGGTGGGGTTAATGGCAGTATTTAGAAGTTAGTGCAGGGGTAAATTATCTAAATTACCACGGCTTACACTGCATGTTAAGATATACACGATCTCCGTGACTTCATAAGGATTACAGGTGCATCTGATTGAGTGTATCACAGAATATATATGTGAAATGATTTCCATACTGTATGTGTTCTTGCTTTATAGGCATCGGGGGGTTTGTTCGCGTTGATGGACAAAAGAAGCTTGTGTTCTACGCTATTCGAGGGGACAAAACAAAACTGATGAAACTTGAAATTGGTGGTCAGAAACAAACCCTTAATGTAGTGGATACACCCCTTGCCTTAGAGATCGATATCAAGTCAGGGTAAGTATATCCTACTGCCTGGAGATCTGCAATGCATTGATAGCATGCAGAATGTAGCTATATACTGTATTAACCGTTGCAAATCAGTAGATAATAACAGCAAATAAGTCAGCAAAGTCACAGTAAGTGTTTCCATGAATACATTGGGTATAAAAGAGATGATCTTCAGCTAAAAAACAACAAAGAGGTAGTCAAGTAGCGTTTGAAGATAGTCCAGTGCGTGAAGGTAGTCAACAACTTGAAGGTAGTCCAGTGTTTGAGGGTAGTCCAGTGCTTGAATGTAGTCCAGTGCTTGAAGGTAGTCCAGTGCTTGAAGACAGTCCAGTGATTGAAGGTAGTCCACTACTTGAATGTAGTCCACTGCTTGCAGATAGTCCAGTACTTGAAGGTAGTCCATTACTTGAAGAAAGTCCACTAATTGAATGTATTCTACTGCTCGAAGACAGTCCAGTGCTTGAAAGTAGTCCAGTACTTGAAGATAGTCCACTCTTGAAGATAGTCCACCCCTTGAAGATAGTCCACCTCTTGAAGATAGGCCAGTGTTTGAAGATAGTCCACCTCTTGAAGATAGCCCAGTGCTTGAAGATAGTCCACCTCTTGAAGATAGGCCAGTGCTTGAAGGTAGTCCACCTCTTGAAGATAGGCCAGTGCTTGAAGATAGTCCACCTCTTGAAGATAGGCCAGTGCTTGAAGATAGTCCACCTCTTGAAGATAGGCCAGTGCTTGAAGATAGTCCACCTCTTGGAGATAGTCCAGTGCTTGAAGATGGTCAATAGTAATGGGCATGTCAGTGAGTATGGCTCTAGGCTGCTTCCAGCAACATGAACTAAGGCGGTATCCAGCAGATAGCCGCCATCCTTCCCTCAATGCTAGTCTGTTCAAGAGCAATACGACTTCGTGTAGACTAAAACTGGTCTGGAAAAAGCAAAATTGTTTTGGAGGTAACACTTCTCTACTTTAAATTTAAGATTTTCGAAGGTAGATTCGATACCTGTACGTTTCAAAATTTGACAAGGTGGGGGAAAAACAACTCGAACTCTTTCGTAATAGGGCTAGTGATAGATGGTGTGCTGTTGGTTGAGTTTGATATAGCCTACAGGTTGAATAGTTGAAACTATGGGGATTAGTGAAGATCGGTTTTGTTATACACATATTTTATATACTCAAACTGTAACATAATACTGTAACATAAAACTGTGCTCAACATGAGACCCAGGCTCGATTATTTACAGACCGCCGGCACATGCCTGGAATATTGGTGAGTGCGGCGTTAAACAAACAAACATCAATGTCCGATAGAACATCCTCTAGTACCGATACCCAGTGCTTGAATGTGGTCCAGTGCTTGAATGTGGTCCAGTGCTTGAAGATAGTCTAATGATTGACGGTGGTCCAGTGCTTGAAAATGGTCCAGTGCTTGAAGATTGCCCAATGCGTGAATGTAGTCCAGTGCTTAAATGCAGTCCGGTGTTTGAAGATAGCCCCGTTGCGTTTGAAGGTAGTCCAGTGCTTGAAGATAGTCCAGGTCTTGAAGATAGTCCAGGTCTTGGAGATAGTCCAGTGCTTGACGATAGTCCAGTCCTTGAAGAAGTCCAGTACTTGAAGATAGTCCAGTGCTTGAAGGTAGTCCACTACTTGAAGGTAGTCCACTAGTCCAGATAGTTGCATGCATAGTCCATAGTTGCATGCATAGTGCATAGTCCACCTCTTAAAGATAGTTGAAGGTAATCCACAACTTGAAGATAGTCCAGTACTTGAAGATAGCCCAGTGCTTGAAGGTAGTCCAGTACTTGAAGATAGTCCAGTGCTTGAAGGTAGTCCACTACTTGAAGGTAGTCCACTAGTCCAGATAGTTGCATGTTGTCTAGTGTTTGAAGGTGGTCCATTGCTTGCAGGTAGTCTAGTGTTTGAAGGTGGTCCATTGCTTGGAGGTGGTCTAGTGCTTGAAGGTGGTCCATTGCTTGCAGGTGGTCAAGTGTTTGAAGGTGGTCCATTGCTTGCAGGTGGTCCAATGTTTGAAGGTGGTCCATTGCTTGCAGGTGGTCTAGTGTTTGAAGGTGGTCAATTGTTTGCAGGTTGTCTAGTGTTTGAAGGTGGTCCATTGCTTGCAGGTAGTCTAGTGTTTGAAGGTGGTCCATTGCTTGCAGGTAGTCTATTGTTTGAAGGTGGTCCATTGGTTGGAGGTGGTCTAGTGTTTGAAGGTGGTCCATTGCTTGCAGGTAGTCTAGTGTTTGAAGGTGGTCCATTGCTTGCAGGTTGTCTAGTGTTTGAAGGTGGTCCATTGCTTGCAGGTAGTCCAGCGTTTGAAGGTGGTCCATTGCTTGCAGGTAGTCTATTGTTTGAAGGTGGTCCATTGCTTGCAGGTAGTCCAGTGTTTGAAGGTGGTCCATTGCTTGCAGGTAGTCTAGTGTTTGAAGCTGGTCCATTGGTTGGAGATGATCTAGTGTTTGAAGGTGGTCCATTGCTAGCGGGTTGTCTAGTGTTTGAAGGTGGTCCATTGCTTGCATGTAGTCCAGTGTTTGAAGGTGGTCCATTGCTTGCAGGTAGTCCAGTGTTTGAAGGTGGTCCATTGCTTGCAGGTAGTCTAGTGTTTGAAGCTGGTCCATTGGTTGGAGATGATCTAGTGTTTGAAGGTGGTCCATTGCTTGGAGGTAGTCTAGTGTTTGAAGGTGGTCCATTGCTTGGAGATGGTCTAGTGTTTGAAGGTGGTCCATTGCTTGCAGGTTGTCTAGTGTTTGAAGGTGGTCCATTGCTTGGAGGTAGTCTAGTGTTTGAAGTTGGTCCATTGCTTGCAGGTAGTCTAGTGTTTGAAGGTGGTCCATTGCTTGCAGGTGGTCTAGTGTTTGAAGGTGGTCCATTGCTTGGAGGTGGTCTAGTGTTTGAAGGTGGTCCATTGCTTGGAGGTGGTCTAGTGTTTGAAGGTGGTCCATTGCTTGCAGGTTGTCTAGTGTTTGAAGGTGGTCCATTGCTTGGAGGTAGTCTAGTGTTTGAAGGTGGTCCATTGCTTGGAGGTAGTCTAGTGTTTGAAGTTGGTCCATTGCTTGCAGGTAGTCTAGTGTTTGAAGGTGGTCCATTGCTTGCAGGTTGTCTAGTGTTTGAAGGTGGTCCATTGCTTGGAGGTGGTCTAGTGTTTGAAGGTGGTCCATTGCTATGAGGTGGTCTAGTGTTTGAAGGTGGTCCATTGCTTGCAGGTTGTCTAGTGTTTGAAGGTGGTCCATTGCTTGCAGGTTGTCTAGTGTTTGAAGGTGGTCCATTGCTTGCAGGTAGTCCAGCGTTTGAAGGTGGTCCATTGCTTGCAGGTAGTCTAGTGTTTGAAGGTGGTCCATTGCTTGCAGGTAGTCCAGTGTTTGAAGGTGGTCCATTGCTTGCAGGTAGTCTAGTGTTTGAAGCTGGTCCATTGGTTGGAGGTGGTCTAGTGTTTGAAGGTGGTCCATTGCTAGCGGGTTGTCTAGTGTTTGAAGGTGGTCCATTGCTTGCAGGTAGTCTAGTGTTTGAAGGTGGTCCATTGCTTGCAGGTAGTCCAGTGTTTGAAGGTGGTCCATTGCTTGCAGGTAGTCTAGTGTTTGAAGCTGGTCCATTGGTTGGAGATGATCTAGTGTTTGAAGGTGGTCCATTACTTGGAGGTAGTCTAGTGTTTGAAGGTGGTCCATTGCTTGGAGATGGTTTATTGTTTGAAGGTGGTCCATTGCTTGCAGGTTGTCTTGTGTTTGAAGGTGGTCCATTGCTTGGAGGTAGTCTAGTGTTTGAAGGTGGTCCATTGCTTGCAGGTTGTCTAGTGTTTGAAGGTGGTCCATTGCTTGGAGGTGGTCTAGTGTTTGAAGGTGGCCCATTGCTTGGAGGTGGTCTAGTGTTTGAAGGTGGTCCATTGCTTGCAGGTTGTCTAGTGTTTGAAGGTGGTCCATTGCTTGGAGGTGGTCTAGTGTTTGAAGGTGGTCCATTGCTTGCAGGTTGTCTAGTGTTTGAAGGTGGTCCATTGCTTGCAGGTAGTCTATCGTTTGAAGGTGGTCCATTGCTTGCAGGTAGTCTATTGTTTGAAGGTGGTCCATTGCTTGGAGGTGGTCTAGTGTTTGAAGGTGGTCCATTGCTTGCAGGTTGTCTAGTGTTTGAAGGTGGTCCATTGCTTGCAGGTGGTCTAGTGTTTGAAGGTGGTCCATTGCTTGCAGGTTGTCTAGTGTTTGAAGGTGGTCCATTGCTTGCAGGTAGTCTATCGTTTGAAGGTGGTCCATTGCTTGCAGGTAGTCTATTGTTTGAAGGTGGTCCATTGGTTGGAGGTGGTCTAGTGTTTGAAGGTGGTCCATTGCTTGCAGGTTGTCTAGTGTTTGAAGATTGTCCATTGCTTGCAGGTAGTTCGTTAGTTACGTTGAGTCTCACGTTGACAGCTCCTTAAAACAGTTGTTGAATATTTATTTATTCATGAAAGATAAACTTTCCAAATCCTCTTGATATCATTTGGTATGTAATTCAAACCATGGATCTTCTGATCCGAGGTCGGACGCCTTGTTCTCATGACCAAACAGGAAAACCCCTTCAGCAAGCTGTGGGACGACTCCACGCCCTGCTACACATTCACACCACATCTTTCCATGCACCTAACAGCAGTAAGGTATACTGGGAAGCCAAAACGACAGGAAAGTCTCTCACCGCGGAGCCGACAACAGGATGAAGACGCACGGCTACACGCTACCCCCATTAGATCATCATAATTGGAAGATTGTGTAAATCGTTTAATCCATAACCAGTCATATTGTCGAAGTGTATGGTTGTAAATGTACTCGCAAGTCGAAGTACGTGCAGTACCTGAGAGAATGACATTTGAGGGTAGGCATGAGTTGGTGCAAGTGACTCATTTTCGTTTACCTGCTTAAACAATACGATGACATCAAACACAACATTTGTGTACCACGTTCTCTTACAGTCAATTCTCCAGTAAGTATTCCGTATGTTGGCCGGCGAGGGTCATCCTTCGCGGAGACCATCCCGAGGTGATGGATGATACGGAGGCATACGTTTAACCGTAATTGTATGTCCTGCGGGTTACTGTCAGTGAATATACTGTGACGTTTCAGTTGAGCCCACTCAAAACAATGATCAAAAACATGTTTTGCAGACTTGTATACTGGGCCGAGTGGATCGTCGAAAAGCAAATAAAACGAATGAAGTATGACGGCAAAGGTGTGGAGACTGTCATCAAGCTGCATAAGTGCGATCTTGGACCCTGGGCTGTACATATTGACGTGAACAGTGGGTAGAATCTACTTGTATATCACGTCTCTCAGTGTCACCTCTCTCAGTGTCACCTGTCTCAATATCACCTACCTTAATATCACCTCCCTCACTGTGTACTCTCTCAATATCACCTCCCTTAATATCACCTCCCTTACTGTCTACTCTCTCAATATCAACCCATTCACTGTCTACTCTCTCAATATCACCTCCCTTAATATCACCTCCCTTACTGTCTACTCCCTTAATATCACCTCCCTTAATATCACCTCCCTCACTGTCTACTCTCTCAATATCAACCCATTCACTGTCTACTCTCTCAATATCACCTCTCTTAATATCACCTCCCTTACTGTCTACTGTCTCAGTATCACCTCTCTCAATATCACCTTCCTCACCGTCTACTCTCTCAATATCACCTCTCTCACTGTCTACTCTCTCAATATCACCTCCCTTAATATCACCTCCCTTTACTGTCTACTCTCTCAATATCACCTCCCTTAATATCACCTCCCTCACTGTGTACTCTCTCAATATCACCTCCCTTAATATCACCTACCTCACTGTGTACTCTCTCAATATCACCTCCCTTAATATCACCTCCCTCACTGTCTACTCTCTCAATATCACCTCTCTCAATATCACCTCACTCACTGTCTACTCTCTCAATATCACCTCTCTCAATATCACCTCCCTCCCTGTCTACCCTCTCAATATCACCTCCCTCGCTGTCTACTCTCTCAGTATCACCTCTCTCAATATCACCTCCCTCACCGTCTACTCTCTCAATATCACCTCCCTCACTGTCTATTGTCTCAGTATCACCTCCCTCACTGTCTACTTTCTCAATATCACCTCTCTTAATATCACCTCTCTCACTGTCTACACTTTCAATATCACCTCTCTCAGTGTCACCCTCCTCACTGTCTACTTTCTCAATATCTGCGCTCTCACTGTCTACTCTCAATATCACCTCCCTCACAGTCTACGCTCTCAATATCACCTCCCTCACTGTCTACTCTCTTAATATCACCTACCTCACTGTCTAATCTCTCAATATCACCTCCCTCACTGTCTACTTTATCAATGTCACCCCTCTCAGTGTAACCCTCCCTCACTGTCTACTCTCTCAATATCACCGCTCCCACTGTCTACTCTCTCAATATAACCTCTCTCAATATCACCTCTCTCAGTATCTACTCTCTCAGTACCACATCTTTCAGTATCACCACTCTAAATATCCCCTTTCTCAATATCACTTCTCTCAATATCACTTCTCTTAATATCACCTCACTCCCTGTCTACTCTTTCAGTATCACCTCTCAAAATCACTTCCCTCCGTACCTCATCTTTGTATCACCACTCTAAATATCACTTCTCTCAATATCACCTCTCTTAATATCACCTCACTCCCTGTTTACTATCTCAATATCACCTCTCTTAATATCACCTCCCTCACTGTCTACTTTCTCAATATCACCTCTCTTAATATCACCTCTCTCCATGTCTACACTTTCAATATCACCTCTCTTAGTGTCTACTCACTCAATATCACCTCTCACCTCCCTCACAGTCTACTCTCTCAATATCACCTCCTTCACTGTCTACTCTCTCAATATCACCTCCCTCACTGTCTACTCTCTCAATATAACCTCTCTCAATATCACCTCTCTCAGTATCTACTCGCTCAGTACCACATCTTTCAGTATCACAACTCTAAATATCACCTCTCAAAATCACCTCTCTCAGTACCTCATCTTTGTATCACCACTCTTAATATCACTTCTCTCAATATAACCTCTCTTAATATAACCTCTCTTAATATTACCTCACTCCCTGTCTAATCTCTCAATATCACCTCTCTTAATATCACCTCCCTCACTGTCTGCTCTCTCAGTATCACCTCTCTCAATATCACCTCCATCACTGTCTACTCTCTCAGTAGCACTTCTCTCAATATCATCTCCCTCACTGTCTATTCTCTCAATACCACCTCACTCCCTGTCTACTCTCTCAATATCACCTCCCTCACTGTCTACTCTCTCAATATCACCCCACTCCCTGTCTACCCTCTCAATATAACCTCCCTCACTGTCTACTCTCTCAATATCACCACACTCACCTACCTCACTGTCTACTCTCTCAATATCACCTCCCTAACTGTCTACTCTCTCAGTATCACCTCTCTCGATATCACCTCTCTCACTGTCTACTCTCTCAATGTCACCTCTTTCAGTGTCTACTCTCTCAATATCACCTCCCTCACCGTCTACTGTCTCAATATCATCTCCCTCAATATAACCTCCCTCACTGTCTACTCTCTCAATATCACCTCCCTCAATGTCTACTTTCTCAATATCATCTCCCTCAATATCACCTCCCTCACTGTCTACTCACTCAATATCACCTCTCACCTCCCTCACAGTCTACTCTCTCAATATCACCTCCTTCACTGTCTACTCTCTCAATATCACCTCCCTCACTGTCTACTCTCTCAATATCACCTCCCTTACTGTCTACTTTCTCAATATCATTTCTCTCAATATCACCTCTCTCAATATAACCTCCTTCACTGTCTACTCTCTCAATATCACCTCCCTAACTGTCTACTCTCTCAATATAACCTCTCTCAATATCACCTCCCTCCCTGTCTACTCTCTCAATATCACCTCCCTCACTGTCTACTGTCTCAGTATCACCTCTCTCAATATCACCTTCCTCACCGTCTACTCCCTCAATATCACCTCCCTCACTGTCTACTCACTCAATATCACCTCCCTCACTGTCTACTTTCTCAATATCACCTCTCTTAATATCACCCCTCTCACTGTCTACACTTTCAATATCACCTCTCTTAGTGTCTACTCATTCAATATCACCTCTCACCTCCCTCACAGTCTACTCTCTCAATATCACCTCCTTCACTGTCTACTCTCTCAATATCACCTCCCTCACTGTCTACTCTCTCAATATCACCTCCCTCACAGTCTTCTTTCTCAATATCATTTCTCTCAATATCACCTCTCTCAATATAACCTCCTTCACTGTCTACTCTCTCAATATCACCTCCCTCACTGTCTACCCTCTCAATATCACCTCCCTTTCTGTCTACTGTCTCAGTATCACCTCTCTCAATATCACCTTCCTCACCGTCTACTCTCTCAATATCACCTCTCTCACTGTCTACTCTCTCAATATCACCTCCCTCGCTGTCTACTTTCTCAATATCACCTCTCTCACTGTCTACACTTTCAATATCAGCTGTCTCAGTGTCACCCTCCTCACTGTCTACTCTCTCAGTATCACCTCTCTCAATATCACCTTACTAACCGTCTTCTCTCTCAATATCACCTCCCTTACTGTCTACTGTCTCAGTATCACCTCTCTCAATATCACCTTCCTCACCGTCTACTCCCTCAATATCACCTCCCTCACTGTCTACTCACTCAATATCTCTTAATATCACCTCTCTCAATATCACCTCCCTCACTGTCTACTCTCTCAGTATCACCTCTCTCAATATCCCATCTCTCACTGGCTACTCTCTCAATGTCACCTCTCTCAGTGTCACACTCCTCACTGTCTGCTCTCTCAATATCACCGCTCTCACTGTCTAATCTCTTAATATCACCTCTCTCAATATCACCTCCCTCACTGTCTACTCTCTCAGTATCACCTCTCTCAATATCCCATCTCTCACTGGCTACTCTCTCAATGTCACCTCTCTCAATATCACCTCACTCACTGTCTACTCTCTCAATATCACCTCTCTCAATATCACCTCCCTCCCTGTCTACCCTCTCAATATCACCTCCCTCGCTGTCTACTCTCTCAGTATCACCTCTCTCAATATCACCTCCCTCACCGTCTACTCTCTCAATATCACCTCCCTCACTGTCTATTGTCTCAGTATCACCTCCCTCACTGTCTACTTTCTCAATATCACCTCTCTTAATATCACCTCTCTCACTGTCTACACTTTCAATATCACCTCTCTCAGTGTCACCCTCCTCACTGTCTACTTTCTCAATATCTGCGCTCTCACTGTCTACTCTCAATATCACCTCCCTCACAGTCTACGCTCTCAATATCACCTCCCTCACTTTCTACTCTCTTAATATCACCTACCTCACTGTCTAATCTCTCAATATCACCTCTCTCACTGTCTACTTTATCAATGTCACCCCTCTCAGTGTAACCCTCCCTCACTGTCTACTCTCTCAATATCACCGCTCCCACTGTCTACTTTCTCAATATAACCTCTCTCAATATCACCTCTCTCAGTATCTACTCTCTCAGTACCACATCTTTCAGTATCACCACTCTAAATATCCCCTTTCTCAATATCACTTCTCTCAATATCACTTCTCTTAATATCACCTCACTCCCTGTCTACTCTTTCAGTATCACCTCTCAAAATCACTTCCCTCCGTACCTCATCTTTGTATCACCACTCTAAATATCACTTCTCTCAATATCACCTCTCTTAATATCACCTCACTCCCTGTTTACTCTCTCAATATCACCTCTCTTAATATCACCTCCCTCACTGTCTACTTTCTCAATATCACCTCTCTTAATATCACCTCTCTCACTGTCTACACTTTCAATATCACCTCTCTTAGTGTCTACTCACTCAATATCACCTCTCACCTCCCTCACAGTCTACTCTCTCAATATCACCTCCTTCACTGTCTACTCTCTCAATATCACCTCCCTCACTGTCTACTCTCTCAATATAACCTCTCTCAATATCACCTCTCTCAGTATCTACTCGCTCAGTACCACATCTTTCAGTATCACAACTCTAAATATCACCTCTCAAAATCACCTCTCTCAGTACCACATCTTTCAGTATCACAACTCTAAATATCACCTCTCAAAATCACCTCTCTCAGTACCTCATCTTTGTATCACCACTCTTAATATCACTTCTCTCAATATAACCTCTCTTAATATAACCTCTCTTAATATTACCTCACTCCCTGTCTAATCTCTCAATATCACCTCTCTCAATA